GGCCATCGCAGAAAACAGTTCGATAACTAGCGCTGGATAGCGACAACTAGCGCTGGATAGCGACAACTAGCGCTGGATAGCGACAACTAGCGATGGCCAGCGCTGGCCATCGATATCCAGCGCAAAATTTTTGCGCTATTACTCGTCAGCTAGCGCTGGCCAGCGCTAGCCAGCGCTAGTTGTCGCTATCCAGCGCTGGCCAGCGCTAGCCAGCGCTAGTTGTCGCTATCCAGCGCTAGCCAGCGTTAGCCAGCGCTAGCCAGCGGTAACCAGCGCTAGCCAGCGCAATGTATCAAAATCATATACTTGCGATATTACTCGGATGATGATTAATCACTTTACACTTGACTGTCACGTGCCTTTTTAACCCATTCTCTGACTCTAGCTGGTTCTGAACGACGCGACTTTTCGAAACCCCAACCTTACTGGGCCGCGCTCAGCCTGTCATTCCGCCAAATCTTTATTCGATGAACATAATAGCCTGGGGTCCTCAGGTAACCCCAACCCTCTAATCTGATCCCAACCCTAACCCTAACCCAATCCTTAACAAAAACATAATATGCTGAAACCCTAACAATAACGAGAAATTAGACTAACTTCCTTATACGGTCATATCACGTGATCGATACATGTACAGTTTTTCGCCAATATCTCGTCAGGAGAGCATTTTAACCCTATGTCATATTGTCATGGGCCCATGGGGGTTGATTCGGAATTAGCGTCCGAAAATACATCGATTAAAGTTGGACACAACCATCGGGGGCCCTTTTAGAACAATCTCGAAAATCGACTGTAGAGTGATTTGGCACGCTCGATATTAGTTGTTAGTATTACTCGTCAGCCAGCGTCACAGCGCTGGCCAGCGCAATATAGTTGCGATATTACTCGTCAGCTAGCGCTGGCCAGCGCTGGCTAGCGCTGGATAGCGCTGGTTAGCGCTGGCTAGCGCTGGTTAGCGCTGCTGCGCTGGTTAGCGCTGGCTAGCGCTGGCTAGCGCTGGTTAGCGCTGCTGCGCTGGTTAGCGCTGGCTAGCGCTGGTTAGCGCTGGCTAGCGCTGGCCAGCGCTGGTTAGCGCTAGCTGACGAGTAATAGCGCAAAAATTTTGCGCTGGATATCGATGGCCAGCGCTGGCCAGCGCTAGTTGTCGCTATCCAGCGGCAGCGCTAGTTGTCGCTATCCAGCGCTAGTTGTCGCTATCCAGCGCTAGTTGTCGCTATCCAGCGCTAGTTATCGAACTGTTTTCTGCAATGGCCAGTTGCGCTGGCCATCGCAAACTATCGCGTGCGACAGTGGCGCATAGCCAGCGACAACTAGCGCTGGATAGCGACAACTAGCGTTGGATAGCGACAATTATCGAACATATATATTTTGCGCTGGCCAGCGTTATCCAGCGCTGGATAGCGACAACTAGCGCTGGATGGCGACAACTAGCGCTGGATAGCGCTAGTTGTCGCCATCCAGCGCTAGTTGTCGCGTTTTGACTATCGCAAAAGAACCTAAGTATGTATAGACGCTTTGGCAGTCAATTGTAGCTTACATTTAAGTGTCCGTAGATTCAAAAGTATAAACGATACAGTCATCTAAAACCACAGATTTTAAAGATAATCGTTTACACTTCAGTTTACAATATATTAAAAATAATTTAACGTCATCATCAACACTTGATGACGTCATCAAATTAGGTGTTTTTATAACTTGATTTTTGAAAAAAGAACAACTTTTCAAATCGATTTTACACCATTAAGGAAGAATTTTATTCAAAATCTGAGGACATTTTTCCTTAGATAATTGTTCAAGCATTCTGAAAATCTACCGGAAAGTTTTCCTACCTTGCTCCTTCATAAAGATATTTGCTATTGAAGTTAGTGATTTTTTGAAGAATAATTTTATAAAAACACAAAAGTTGTGAATTAGTATTCTCTGGTGTTGGGCCATTTGTTGGGTTGTGGAGCTCAATTTTGCTTCATGAAGGTCTATATTGTGTATTAGGCTAGTTTTAAAGTTGAAAATCGAAAATTTGCATACGTGGGGACACGCCCAAATTGATCTAAAATTGCTAAAATCACTGAAAATTGTTATTTTCACGATTTTTATCAACTTTGGAGTCCCGCGCGTTGTGATACAAGTCCTTTTGAAATCTTCTGAAACTTTGCATGCTTATCAAACTATATATAAAATACTACTATGCAAAAATGTACGGTGATTCAATATTGTATGCGCACGCAACGTCCGCTCAAAGTTTGCACGTGCGAAAGTTGAGAATTTTGCTCATTCGTGATTTCAAATATATTCTGCTTTCCCACGATATTTAAATGGCATTATATATAAATTTAATGCCAACTTGAATGAGTAAAAAGTGCCATATTCAGTCTGTTATCGACAGATATGCCTACCTAAACACAAGGAAACGTTTTCAAAGGTAAAATTTTGAAATCGTTGAAATTACCTCCTTATTAATGAAGTTTCGACTGTGTAAATTATCCTGACATTATAATCAAAAAGAGATGATATTTCACCAAAACCCATAATCATGGGTAGAGTGAACCGCTGCCAGTGTCTCTCTTTTCCAAACAAAAGGAAATGATATTAATTTGAGGAACCGTCCGAAAATGCAAATTGATACCGAGAATGAAATCGGTCGCTCGCTTTTCCCATTAATTCACGGCTTACGAATTGTAATAAAATTAAAGCTTATTGAATGGAAAAGCGAGCGACCGATTTCATTCTCGGTATCAATTTGCATTTGCGACGGTTCCTCAAATTAATATCATTTCCTTTTGTTTGGAAAAGAGAGACACTGGCAGCGGTTCACTCTACCCATGATTATGGGTTTTGGTCAAATCTATTATCTCTAATTATGTAATATAATTATAACGTTATAATCCACTTAAACTTCTTATATAACCACATTGGTATACTTTCAGTAAAATACTGCAAAGAATTAACCGTGGTCACTGAATCTATAGTATCTTATGAACGACAGCCATCTGGCTCTGTTATCAGGATAAGATGTGGTGTGGGGTTTGAAAACAGTGGAGAAGAGGAAATCACCTGCAGAGCCAATGGAACGTGGTCCTCGTTCCCGGACTGCAACAAATATAACGGTTAATACTTATTACTGTCACATCTATTCGATATATTTTGGGCAAATTTACTACCACAGTGCTGGCAAGCACGACTGTTGACTGCCAGCATTTATAACCCCTTTACTATTATTTTCATCAGAAGTCGTTCAGCGGGTTTATTCTTAGTCCAAAATATTCTAATTCTATGTTAAACATCAAACATTTTCTGGAACCACTGTTTTACTTTTATGACAGATTGTCGTAAAGTTTAAAGGACGTCGCCGCTTCGATAAATTATCATATTCGCTTTGAAGTCATGTCGTAACGGAGCTACGAGCTGGAACAGATTGGCATCGTCAATCAATCGTGATTCGTGAAGCATCTATAATATTCTACATATATATTTTTTTCACCAAACCCAAAATTGGGTAGAGTGGACCGTCGCCAGCGTGATCGATGCTTGCATTATCAATTAAAATCAAGTTTTACAGATTGCCACGCTTTTGTTACGCTCAAGTCACTTCGAGAGAATTGGGGGCACTATATTCTTATCTATCTTTAGTTCTCGTGTCATTTTGCTTCATTAAATTTAATGTAGAATACTTTGCCACGTGGTTTTTCGATGGAATCCTAGCAATACTTTCACAGCGATTTTTCCTTAGCCATATCTGTCTGATCCAATATATGTAATATGTTAATAATTTAAATGTTTAAAACTGAAACCAAGAAAAAGATAGCGCTATAAATTGAGAATCACGGGAATGTGCTTTAACCTATTCAGGCTAGGAATACAAGGAATAAAAGGAATAAAAAGAATACAAGGAATATAAGGAATACAAGGAATACAATTACAAGGAATACAAGGAATACAAGGAATACAAATTTAAATCTTAAGTTACAACAGTTACTGTTAAGATAATAAAAATATCATACGATTTAGATTTAGTATTAATATGATTTGCTATAAAAAGAAAAAAAAAAGAGAGAAAGATCTTTAAGATAATTATTTTGTTTACAGTCGAAGCTATTGAGCCAGGCCACTTTGCGCGAGAAGACGCGATTACTTTGTATTTCAAACCAGCCTTTTTTCCTTATTTGCTCAAATAAGCTATAACTATAAGTATAAATACAATGATTCCAGAAAAGTTGAAAACAGAACAAAGACATATGTTTCAGAAAAGTTAAAACATAACAAAGAAATATGTTTATTGTTTCATATCAGCAGAGCGAGTCATTTTGAGACCATTTTTTGCTTGTCAAATACCTCTCAACGAATTTCTTCCAATTTTTACCAATCTTTGAGGATATGAATTTCTTAAGGGTTATAATTATTAATTTATCATTTTAAGATGGCGAATTGTTATCACCGATCTGAATGTAATTTTTAATAGTTTCATTGGATTTGCTCAATGTTTTTTACCAATTTCTTCACTCTCTGTTGACTATTCCTGTAACTTCTACTTACTATTTCAACTTAAACTAAAGTTTTCAACGCCGCACAACTGCAGAATGAGTTCCTCAGTCTGTTGGATGGTTCCTATCCTACTATTATCATGGTTATCCTCTTCATCTGCAGGTAAGAGTCCAATTACCACGGTAACTAAGAATTCTGAGCTGAGTGGTCTATGCAGCCCCCCCCCCCGGTCCACTAAGCCGAATACTCGAGAAATCAGTTTTGAGTGTCAAATGAGGAGCTGCCCGTTGCAGCGAAAATTTTTTTTTTCTAATTATCCAGGTGACGCAGATTGGAAAGCAGTGGCGAGAGAAGTCGACACAGTCGCCAATCTCCAGGAAAACAAGCTTCAGATAAAGACAAGTTTCGCCAGGGGAAGCGCAAGAATGATATCTTTATATCTTTTCTGGGATACTGGTCCTGAAGGATATGTATCGTCAGACCTGCTTGATATTTGGTTTAAGATCCCTATAAGTTACTATATGACTTACTGCAACGAAATGTACGCTTCTTTCCCTCGTGAACCACCAAGTGAAACGACCAATGTCTGGAGTATTGGCAAGACAGAAATAGGACTAAAGATAGAGTGTAACGGGGTCACAGTTCTACATTACAATACCTCTTCTTGTGAAAACAGTCAGAGATGGGGACGGGAAATAAAGAAGATAAAATTTGGTGAATCCGACTCAGCGTCGGAGCAGTACAGGCTTATATCTGCCCAAGGTAAATGAAGATTGGATATTTTGTTACAATTTATTATTTACTACAACTTACTGTATTATAATTATATAATCATTCATAATAAAAACAAAATGAAATACGGGCTTTACTTTTAATATAACAGTAATCATACAAGGTAATATAATGTTATAAGTTATAACCACTTCATGTACAATATATATTTAATCACATTGGTATACTTTCAGTAAAATACTGCAAAGAATTAACCGTGGTCACTGACTCAGTATCTTATGAACGACAGCCATCTGGCTCTGTTATCAGGATAAGATGTGGTGTGGGGTTTGAAAACAGTGGAGAAGAGGAAATCACCTGCAGAGCCAATGGAACGTGGTCCTCGTTCCCGGACTGCAACAAATATAACGGTTAATACTTATTACTGTCACATCTATTCGATCTATATTTCCTATTTGCTATTTGCCCGTGTCATTACGCGAGCCTATTAAATAACTGTCAGCCTATTAAATAATTTTGTCAGCCGGGTGGTGTAGTGGTAACACGATCGCCTCCCAACTTCCCAAGCAGAAGGCCCGGGTTCAAATCCGTTAGGATGCAAGTCGGCCAGTTACCAAGCTGTGATTTGGTACAGTTTCGGCTGGTGATACACGCTCCCTGGCTCGTAGGACTAACGCCCCTACAGCTAGTATGCTATGTGGTATAGTGCCTTGGCAAACAGTGGCTTAGGGTTCCGGTTAATGAAAAGGAGATAAGTACCTCAGGCCATCCCAATACTGGGAGTGACATAGCCTTGTATCTTGTTGTATTAAATAACTTCACACCTATTTATACTTATATATGAACGGTGAAGTGAAACAAATGAGACATGGTGATCGGTGGCCCAAGTAGATGGGAATGTATGAAGGCCAGTCATCAAGTAGCCCCCAGCCACTCACAGCACGCCCTCAGGTCACGTGACAGCACGTCACAAGGGTCACGTGACAGATCACATGTCATGTAACCACGTGACAAGCTCGTTAATTAAATGTCAAGGTCACATGACAAGATAATTGACCAATAAGGAGTCAGAACGTCATGATGAATCAATCAATAATCCCGACTAAAGAATCTAAAGTCTGATTAAACGGTCGCCAAGCAGGTTCCTGTTACTTGATCACTGGTCACGTGTTTAGCTTAAGCATCATGTGACATGAACGTTATTTGAACCTCGAGATCACGTGACAGGAGTCACTTGATTATCCGTCAGAACGTCATGATGAATAAATCAATAATTCTGTCTAAAGGATCTAAAGTCTGATTAAACGGTTGCCAAGCAGGCTCCTGTCACTTGATTACCGGTCAAATGATTCTTAACGAATTACCCCGGTCCAGTCACCACTCCAAATAAGCAGAGGGTGTCATAACGAAATGTGGTGTAGGGTTACCATCACTCCCCCCCCCCCCCACTCCTCCTGGGAATTGCAAGTCTTATCATCAATTTTCTGACATTTAAGCAATAGCTACAGTATCTGAACCACATTTTCACCCTTTAAGATATAACAACTGTTAGGTAGCCTAGTGGTTAGAGCAACCGCCTTCTGCACAAAAGGTTCAGGGCGAATCCCATTGTCACCCTGCAGTCTAGGGAGTAGCAAAGGCTCCATACCATTGACTATTATTAACTACTAAATTTGCGTGTTATAAATTTGGTGAATTTCAAGAGACGAATAAAACTACCGTTTTATGATAATTTGTTTGTTATCACCATAATCATAAATTGAAATCATCAAGAGTAAGATTGGGTACATAAATCAATCTATAACAGTTGTACGTTAATGGGGTTCTAGTACAGGTAGCTAGTTCCACCAACTACTTATTCAGATAAAGTTTGAGAATCTTATCGACAATAGTTGTGTTTTCGTTCATCAGTTTGTTTACATCAGATAGACTTGTAGTGTTGATAACTGCATCCAATAGAGCTCGTTCTTCCAAACTTAAAATACCTGTTATGTCTTTTCCGTTGTCAATGAAACGCTGCTTCAAGTCCACAAACAATTCGGTTTTCATCATGTATGAGAATAACATGTCAAAACATTTATCTTGCTCTTTACACAATTTACTTTGTAACATGACGTCTATAGATTTAAGTAATTTCGATATCTTTTTCTTGTTTGGTTGTTTGATTGGTACTCCTTTCCGCTTGCCTACGTGTTTCCAGTCAGTATCAGATTCTAACTCTTTAGCACTATATTCTTTGTTGGACTCATCATCGCTACTTGTTACACCACTAAATTCATCATCACCACTACCTGATACATCAGAGTTAGAACCACCTTGCTGAGATTCTTCAGAAACTATTGTATCAGCATCTGAACATACAAAATCAGGACCCTCCATTTTGACATCAGTCGCATCTGAGTTAGCTTTTGACAGTGGCTGTAGAATTGCAGAACTTTGATCTAACTCTCGGTTCTCTCGATGATACCTACTAATGTGTGAGGACAGACTATATTTATTGGCAAAAGACTTGTCACAGAATGAGCAGGTTACAGAATTCATAACTGCAGTACAAACGTTTTATAATGCTATGCAACAACCATTATATAGCAATAATCGCATAAAATCGCAAATAATCGCAAAATAATCGCATATAATCGCATATAATAGCATATAATAGCATATAATAGCATATAATAGCATAAAATTGCAAATAATCGCATATAATTGCAAAATAATTGCATAAAATAGCATATAATCGCATATAATAGCATATAATAGCATATAATCACATTTAATCACATATATAATCACGCATATTATCTCTTAAAATCACATTTTATTATTTATACTCGCAAATAATTGCATATAATTGCAAATAATCGCATATAGTAGCAGGGTGAATATGATCCAACTTATGCATTCAACCTATTAAAGATCTTTTCAAAGATTTATTTTCATGCTGATTGCCAAGCATCATCCTGGAGATGGAACTGTAACTCTTGAGTCTACCAAAGACTGCACCCAACATGTAGGAATACTTCCTAGTGGGGACATTAAAGGACCACACCAGACAGGACAAGGAGATCATGGTAAATTCTAAGTCAACTAGTCAGACGGAGATCATCTTCGAGATTTATCACTTTCTGGGTTATCATTCATAACCAGTAGTCAGCGCACCATTAATTTTTGCTTTCAAATGATAACTGCTAATACTCTTGTCGATTTTATTGCACAGAAACCAGCATTTGACCGGGACCGGGATAGCTCGAAATTGCCAATCCCGGTACCGGGATACCCGGTACCGGGAATCCCGGTCGATTACTGGTGCATGCAACTGACCAGGTTTAGGTATCAGGTGATTTTTCCTGCAATTTGGTAGTTGTGAAACATCACCTTGGATTTCTGTTGTCACAAAACGTACCTTTTTAGATCTTTTCTCAAAGCATATAATAGCATGTAATCGCATATAATCGCATATAATCGCATATAATCACATATAATCGCATATAATAGCATATAATAGGATATAATAGCATATAATAGCATATAATAGCATATAATAGCATATAATCGCATATAATCGCATGCAATAGCATTCAATCACATATATAATCCATTGGGTGGGCGACAGTTGACCCCCCCGACAATTAACCCCCGACAATTGACACCTCGACAATTGACCACCTGACAATATAATTTAATACAGCATCACTTCATACCATACTCCTCACGGTGCTCTTGATCTAGGAAGAATGCACCTTTGTTGTGGTGTGCCGCACTCCACATGAATAGATTCCCGGAAAATTCAGATGCTCTCCCCATAGCTAGTGGCACAGACGGGAATCGAACCCGGGACCCTGTGAATGCGAGGCATTTCACAAGTAGGCAGACTAACGTCTAACGAACTGTGCCACATAGCCATTTATAACTATAATGTATTATTTTAAACTGACAAGCTTGTAAATGAAATGTCAAGGTTACGTGACAAGTTAATTGACCAATAAGAAGCAAGTACGTCATAATAGCATCCGTCACGTGATATTCGTTACGATCTTGTTAAACATGTTTCACTTTTGATGTGATGTGCCACACTCCACATGGACAAATCTCACGATACTCTTGATCTAGGAAGGAGGTATTTTTTGTGATGTGCCACACTCCACATAAACAAATCCGCTAAATACTGAATAAATGCCGAATACTGAATGAATACTGAATGAATACTAAATGAATACTGAATAAATACTGAATGAATACTGAATGAATACTGAATGAATACTGAATGAATACTGAATGAATACTGAATGAATACTGAATGAATACTGAATGAATACTGAATGAATACTGAATGAATACTGAATGAATACTGAATGAATACTGAATGAATACTGAATGAATACTGAAAATAATCGCAAATAATAGCATATAATATCATATAATAGCATATAATAGCATATAATAGCATATAATAGCATATAATAGCATATAATAGCATATAATCGCATATAATAGCATATAATTGCATATAATTGCATATAATAGCATATAATAATAACATATAATCGCATTCGGTAGACTCAAGAATTACAGTTCAATCGCCAGCATATAATCGCATATAATAGCATATAATATCTTATAATCGCATTTAAATGAATACCAATGGTTGTTACGTTTAAATAGATAAAATTAAATGTTTTAAAAGAGCGATCCATCTGGAGAAGTAAGCTAGGCGGGATTTGAACCCACATTGTCCTGCATAGGAAAGTTGCCGTTAACTCACTAACCTGAGGCTCCAGATGGACCGCTGTTAAAATGAAAATATGAACATGTTTAACAAGATCGTAACGAATATCACGTGACGGATGCTATTATGACGTACTTGCTTCTTATTGGTCAATTAACTTGTCACGTAACCTTGACATTTCATTTACAAGCTTGTCAGTTTAAAATAATACATTATAGTTATAAATGGCTATGTGGCACAGTTCGTTAGACGTTAGTCTGCCTACTTGTGAAATGCCTCGCATTCACAGGGTCCCGGGTTCGATTCCCGTCTGTGCCACTAGCTATGGGGAGAGCATCTGAATTTTCCGGGAATCTATTCATGTGGAGTGCGGCACACCACAACAAAGGTGCATTCTTCATAGATCAAGAGCACCGTGAGGAGTATGGTATGAAGTGATGCTGTATTAAATTATATTGTCAGGTGGTCAATTGTCGAGGTGTCAATTGTCGGGGGTTAATTGTCGGGGGGTCAACTGTCGCCCACCCAATGGATTATATATGTGATTGAATGCTATTGCATGCGATTATATGCGATTATATGCTATTATATGCTATTATATGCTATTATATGCTATTATATGCTATTATATGCTATTATATGCGATTATATGTGATTATATGCGATTATATGCGATTATATGCGAATCT